CCCCACGATGCCCGACAAGAGGGGCCATACTAGGAGCCCCATTCTACCACGCAGAAACTGAAGCTTCGAAAAGATAAGTCAGCTGCCCAAGGTCAAACAGTTGTAAGTGGTAGATCCGGAAACTTAAGAACTCAGCTCTTGACTTCAAAGCCCTTTTGCTGAGCCACAACATCCAACTTCCTCTCCTCAACCCTTTGATGCTTTGAAGGGCCGAGGATCTAGTATCTCCAAATAGTAGAAAAACAACAATTAGAGTCCTGGAGTCATCTTGGCTCCACTCCCAGGCCGCCCATTGGCTACCTCTGCCTTGCTGTTCCCTTCCCTGGAGACCGCAGGCGCAGACCCATTGCTCCTTGCCAGCGGCGGCGTCACTAGCATCGGAGGAACGAGCCTCCTCGTGCCTCCTGGGTGCTAGGTGTGTCCGGGGTGTGATCAGCTAACCTGCAAACCAACCTGCGCGTTGGCCCTCTTTCCAAAGAAAGAAAACTCCCCGAGGTGGGACACCTGGGAGGAGGCAGCGTGGGGCGAGAGCTCGGGGCCTTGGCCCCGGGCCCGGTGAATTCCCCGCCCGCGGTGAGCCACCTTGGTGCGCACGCTAAGGAAACTGAGCAGTGGGCTGCTGTTGGGGGCGCAAGAGGATGGGGTTCCCGGGGGTCCCTGGCAGAGACGGAAATGGCCGCATCCGGTGGATGGACCCACAGACGGTCAAGGCCCCCAGGCCACCTGGCTCCCAAGGGGCCAGGAGTGTCTCACCCAAGGAGTCAGAAAGGAGCCCTTCGGGGTGATGTGGGGCCGGTCCACAGAGGACCTTCCTTCACTTGCTGAGGCCTCGCCTGGGAGAGGTTGTTCCGACCGTGGTTTCATTCCTCTGTTGGGAAATGTCCGGTAGGTGCCTCCCAGGGCCGCCTGACCGCTGCCCTGCAGGCAGACCACGGCTGTTCCTGGAGGCCACGCCCCCCACGCCAGTGTCTGCACCCCGAGATCGTCACACGGCGAGAGCCTTGTCCCTCCCCGACGCGCTGGCCTCAAGAGAGGATGAAAGAAAGGCCAGCACATTCCAGATATTCCCAGGAAAACGGGGATGTTTACTCCAACTTTACCAAAAATAGAGAACCTCTTGACCCCGTTGAAAAGCTATTTTCCAGGAAGGACTTTGTAGGTAGCAGACAATGCCACAGAAGGAAAGGCCCATGGCTTTGACAATGTCACAACGTAAAGCTTCGGCGCATTAAAACCCATCAAAAACAGAAGTAAAAGTAGATAACCCACTAGGAAGGCGCACGCCCCACGTGTCACCGTGGCGATGCGCAGAGAGCTCGTCAAACGCCTTTACAACACATCCATCAAAACCCGGTTAGGTAAACAGGTGAAGAAAGCCGGTAACCGACCCGAAAGTTTTTAAATGGCGTAATCATTGTGAACACTTTTGTTCCATCACTGATCATGCGTTATAACTTTGCAATAGCACTGTTTGCCTTTTAGGTGGCGGGATTTGCTTCGCTGGTGTTACCAGGAATGGGCGCAGACCCGCGATGCCGGCCGGCTCTCTCAGACTTGGGCGGGCAGTGGCGTCCATGCCAGGGGCAACCTTCCCAGAGACACTGAGACAGAATTTACCAAGAACAGTTAGCTGGGAAACTTAAATGTCTTGGCATTTTTCTCTGGAAAAAAAAACAACTAGAAAATCCAACGGAACATTATGGATAAAGAGGTTCAAGGAAGGGGATATTGAATAGCAAACTAGGGAAGCTCAGATGCTCTGGAATAGGTAGATCATGAAATACAGCCCACGGCCAGCCAGAGTCCCTCCCCGCCCCCCCTACCCCCGCTGCCCCTCACTGCCCTCTCTCAGAGCCCCTGAGTGCCGGCGAGCACAGCAACCCCAAGCTGAGGAGAGCCCAGGGAGTAACTCCGGCCCCACGGCCAGGGCAGGGCAGGCTCTGGCAGCCGACAGCTGCTTTCACAGTGCAGGAGGCAGACTCAAAGCCTGACCCCGCCACTGTGCCGTGTCCCTGGGATGCCACCAGTCCCCTTCTCCGTGGGAGCTGCCAAGGGAGAAAAACCTCCTGTCATGTTCCTGGGGCGAGAAGCAGCCCTCCTGCGGCACTCCCTCCCTGCATGTGCTCTCCTGCTTTGTAGAAACCAAGACTGAGGCTTACTGGAAGCTGCCTACCACTGGGCCACACCAAGCCTCAAATGCAGCGTGGCCCCCAGCCCCCAGAGAGGCACAGCCATTTAGAACCTGGGAGCCCCAGCAATCGGATGCTGCCCGAGGTTTTGGTGCCAGTGCCGGGCGTTTGTCATCAGACCTCTGCCCAGGAGCATGTGCGGCCTGCGGCCTGCTGGCCCTTTGGAGCCCTGCGGGATGTGGTTCGCGATTTCTGAGCAGGCACACAGCCACAGGCGGTGGTCTGGGGGAGCCCGTGAAGTCTGACAGCAGTGGTAGGTCCGGTGGCGGGTGTGGTGGGTGAGGCGGGGGTGTAGTGGAGAGCGCATCAACAGCGCCTCCCACAGGTGGTCCAAGGACAGCGCAGCCCTGGCACAAAAGCCGCACTCCCTTGGGAAGTGCTGGGGGAGAACTCTCCCTGTTTCTTCCAGCTTCTGGGCTCCTGGCGGCCCTTGGCTGGTGGCCCTGCCACTCTGGCCTCAGACCCTCCTTCACACAGCCTTCTCCTCTTCCCTGGGCCTCTCCTCTGTGTGTCTCCTGCAAGGACGCTTGCCGCTGGGTTTAGGGCCACTGCATAATCCAGGGCCATCTCGTCCCTAGGTCCTTCATGCAATCACATCCATAAAGGCCCTCTTTTCCAAATAAGGTCACACTCACCCATCCGGGTGGGGTGAGGATCTAGACCTATCTTTGGGCGGCCACAATTTAACCTGTGACAAGTCATTACGTCACACTTTCCACGTCTGCACACTGCTTGTGAGGCCCGCAGGACCTGGTTCCCATCAGCCTCTGCACCTCCCCCCTGGTCCCACGGCCCCACCTGTGACCCCCTCCTCCCGCCCCAGGGCCCTGCTCTGTCTCTAGCGCACCAGGTTCCCTCCTGCCTGGGTCTGGCGGGGCTGGGGCCTCTGTCCTGGCTGCTCTGGCCCCGAGACCCACACGGCTTTCTCCGGCACTTTCTTCAGGTTCTGTCAGCCCTCCGTGAGCCGGAGAGGCCTGGCCTGGCGACCTTGTCTGCCCTCTCGACCCTGTCACAGACACTTCCTTCCTATCCCCTGCTCTGTCTCCCCCGGTGCTTATCACCACTGCACATCCGCACGTTTGACCCCGTTGTCTGGTTCACGGTCTGCCCCTCTGACTAGAGGGCAGAGGGGTGCTTGTGCCCTGCTGTGCCCCGGCAGCTAGAACAGTGCTGGGCGCTAGGTGGTCTCGGCTGAATGAATGAGTGAATGAGTGAATGAATGAATGAACAAGCCTCTGCTCAGGCTGAGTTCTGAGCTCCCAGAAGCCTTCACGGACACCCGCTTCTCTGAACTCCTGGTACCTGTGGTCTCTCGTGAGGGCCACAGGAGCCCACCTCTGAGTGTCCTCCTCTTCAGGGCCGAGAGTCTAGACAAAGATGTTGTTGGTTCACCAAATGCTCCCTGAGCCTCTACACAGGTGGCCAACACAAGGCCCTCGGGCTGAACCCGGCCCTCCACCTTGTTTTATCTGGCCCGGCACTTTGTTTCTACCCGCTAGCAGCACCGAGCTCTCGCTTAACTGTTAAGGAGTAGTTGCCTTTATACAGTCCTAAGATTATATTCGGCCCTTTGAAGTCAGCTGGTCCCTGGCTAGGATGTGGGCCACTTGAGTGTGTCCAGGGTCCGGCTCAGGGTGTCCCCTCATGGCCATGTAAAGTGGCTGAGCCTGACTCATCCCTAGTCTCCACCTGGAGAGAGAGACCCAGAGAGGGCAGGGCCTTGAGACCAGCTGCCCAAAAGTGCCTCATGCCCCACCCCAGGGTCCTTGGGCTTGGAACTCCGGCTTTACAGACCACAGGCAGTGTGCAGCCCTTAGCCCCAGCCTGGGCCACGCCCCCCCACCCCACCCCAGCCCAGTAGGAACAGGCCTGTTGTTCTAGGACTCCCAAGCAAAAGGTTATTTCCTGGGCCAGGGGAATCACAGCCACATCATTCCCAGAGCTTCGGACTGGAGAAGTGTCCTCACAAGCTCTAATTGTGTCTGACTGGACCGTTTCAGGCTAGGGGAGGACCATGGGTAGGTTTTGAGCCCCGGTCAGATTTCCAGGGGTCCTGGACGAGCCTGGATTTGCCGCTGACTTATTGGGGGGTCTTCAGCAAACAACCTCCCCCAAGTCTTCTACCTCCCTCTTCTCAGCTCCCAAGGAAGGGGGATGACTTCGAAGAGAGGTCATGCGAAGTTGTTAAAACTGGGCTGTAGGAACCTCGGGGTTCCCACAGACGCCAGAGCACCTTTGCCAGGCAAGATGCCTGGAGAAACTTTCTCTTACTGGTTTTATATGTCAGACACGTCAAAGCTCTGGGTAAGATTTTTGTCTTGAGAAAAAAAATTTGTCACTGATTTAAAAAATTATTCTGAAAACTGCTGGATATAATTTCTTTCTTTTCTTTTTCTTTCTTTTTTTAATCCTCACCCCAGGGCATGCTTATTGATTTTAGAGGGAGAGGGGAAGGGAGGGAGAGAGGGACAGAGAGCAACATCACTGTGAGAAACACCTATTTCATCTCATATGCATCCCCACCAGGGACCGAACCCACAACCCAGGCGTGTGCCCGGAGCAGGAATCGAACCCACGACCTTTCAGTTTACAGGGGTAGGATGCTCCAAGCAACTGAACCACATTGGCTGGGGCAGAAAACTGCTGGATGTGATTTCCGTGCATTTAGAAGCATAAACCGAAATTGCAGTGGGTTCTCAGAGATCAGGCCCAGGGGGACTCCAGGGAAGACCTGCTTCCTGTTTCCTGGCCCCTGAAACGCTGTTTGGATGACTGTCCTTACGTTTCCCAGGCCACACCCGCCCGCCTGCCCGAGGGCGGGCGCAGCCTCCTCAGCCCGGCCTCACCGCCCTCAGCAGGGCTGCGCCCCAGGTGCTGGCAGCCAGGTGTGAGGTGGGTGCGCCAGGAAAGCCTCTCTCTTCCCTGTGACTTGTCTTCAGTGTCAGGCTTTCTCTTCCGTAAGACTGACTTCTTCAGATATGTCATGTCCTTTAAACTTTTCTCTTAAACCTGTCTCTTCCTTCTCCAGGGGGTAGCGAGACGTTTGGCTGAACTTCTTCCTGGCAGAGATTCTCAGACCCTCATGGGGGTGGGGGTGGGGGCAGATTCTGGGAAGGTCAGGTGGGGGGTAGGGAGTGGTGGCAGGGGACGGGGGCGGGATGGAATCCAGAGGCGAGCCTGGGAGCCCGAGGCCTGAGCACTGTGTCTCGGGGGCCTGTGACCTCCGGGAGCGATTGCCAGCCCAGCTGGACGCGTTTCTATTTTCTGCTCAGAGTCCTGGCGGCTGGTCCAGGCCAGGAGCAGAGGGCTGTTTGGATTCTGAAACAGGAACTGGGTCAAGAAGATGGAGGAGCTGTCAGGCCCGGGGGCTGAGTGAGGACACAGCACTGCCGGCCGGTCCCACACTCCCGGCCGCCCGGGGGCCAGGGAAATGCGTCCTCCTGGGCAGTGCTGCCAGCCACAGCGAGACACCTGGCCTCGTGCCCAGATGAGGGCATGCACCTTTGTCACCCTAACTGTCCCGGCCACCCAAGTCAAGCAAATGAGGTTTGGGCGCTTGAAAATCAGATCTGGGTGCAGACCAAACCATGAGAACACTAGGGCTGGAGACAGAGGCCAAAGGGGCTTTGATCCTGCTCTGCAATGTCTTAATTTTTGTTTTTTGCAAGAAAATGTATTGATGGATTGCTTGGTTGATAATAAAATAATATATATATATATATATATATATATTTAAGGGTCAGACTTAAAGAACTTACTGTAAAATATCAACTGTCTTATAAGAGACTCTAAACGTGTTTCTTTTCAGAGACGGGGGTGGGGACTGCCTGGCTCACGCAGCGCTGCCAACCTGCCGAATGGTCTGGCGTCAGGTCTGGCTCCTTGGGCCTCTGGGGCCCCTCCGCACCACGAGGAGATGGCTCTCAGGTCCTTCTGGTCCTGACATCAGGTAACCAGAAGCTTCGCCGTGCGAGGGAGCCAACGGCCCCTCTGCCCAGGCTCCCCTGCGCCCTCTCGGCCGTGCTCTCTGAGACTCCAGCCTGCAGAGGCCTGGCCTGTCTGTCGGCTGGGGAGTCGTCCCAGGGCCACAGGCTGGTGGCTGAGAGCCCCTGCGGCTCTGCGGGCAGAGGAGCTGAGCTGTTTTCCTGAGGACAGTTATGACAGACCCCAGAAGCCCTCAGGTCCCCCAGCCCCGGGGCAGACAGAGTGAGCGTGACATCGCCGCAGGGTAGTTGTGTGTCTCTCTGAGTCTGGCATTTACCAGTGTCACTGACCTGCCTGTGTCACTGACAGAGATGGTCTGGTTAGGGACATGGCCCCTGTGACCCTGCCCCCCACACCCATCACTATGACAACAGCTCAATAGGGTCCCAAGGGCCTAAGAATCCCGCTTCCACTGAGAGCGAGGTTGGCCGAGGTCAGACAAAGAGGGATTAATAGAGCCCTGTTCTCATTAAGGCACAAAGCGCCATTATTACGAGTTGCAGCAGCCCCACCAGGAGACGCAGCAGGCTTTCAAGGCCCTGAGAGCCCAGTACCCCACAGGGAGTGGCTCCAGCAGGAGCCCCAGAGTCACCCTGAGTCCGGATCGGAGGCCGGGCAGGAAACCCAGAAAGAGCCTGAATGTCCGACGGACGGCGCGGCACAGCCGAACAATGGCACGGACTGCAGCCATTCAAATGGCAGCCCCGATTATTTCCATTCACGTCCTCACAGTGCACAGGACCAGGTCGCAGACACTGTCAACAAGATGCCATTTTTTGTTTAAAAAAGAAGTCATATACACAGGACACACAAAAATACAGAAGACAGTATTTCAAAATGTTAAGAGTGGTTATTTTTGGAAAGTGTGATCGTGTGTAATTTCTTTTGGTTTACCTGTATTTTCTATAATAAGCATATATTTCTTTTATATTTCTGGAGACTTCTATTTTTTAAAAAATTGGTACTGAGAATTAGAGGGTGGTCTCTCTTGCCCTCTGCAGTCAAACTTCAGGTAACAAAACCCAGGAGAAGGCATTGTTTTGGAGAAAGGGGTTTTCTTTATGACTAATGTTTTATGAATTCAACAACAAATACTTGTGAAAATTTGTTTTATCTTAGTCACCCGGTGTTTAAGAAAATCATTCTAAACAACAGTGCACAGCCTCATTGCCTTCTTGCAGCAGAATACCAGGAAAAGAATTTATTATTAGCTTCGTCCTTCCGAAGGGCCCACATCTGCTAGAGGAGATCCAGGCTGACCTATTGGGTGATAAGAAGGGTTTGTGGTCTGTTAAATACCTTCAGATTGCTTCATCTGTGGGGTATTCAGGTTGAGTGTTTGGAGTGTGAAGTGGGTCCTCGGGGCCAGGGGAGCCCCAGGAGAACTTCCAGAAGGTGGGGGCAGTGCTCCAGCCTGTGTCTGCCGAAGAGGGCTACCGAGAGCACCAGGCCCCGAGAGGTGCGAGGTGACACTGTCGGCAGGAGGAGTGGGGGTCTGGACACAGAAAGGGAAGGAAACTGCTGTGAAGAGATAGACCATCGGGGACATTGTGTGTCTGCTCTCCCCAGCTGATAAGCCCAGACGCATTCTCCCTTTAAGAGTGGCCACAGAAGAAGTTTATTTCTGGCCTCGATGCTGGGAAAAGCGATGCCTCCTCTAAGCTGCAGATGTATGCTTATCTCCCGGGCCTGTGAATCTTACAGATACTTGCCTTTTTACTCTTTGCTTTGGCTGCTAGGAAGCCCTGTGCACGTAGTGGTTCCACACACTGATTGTACTTTGGCTCCATCTCAGATACATACTTGGCTTTTACCTAGAGTTCCTTCTCTATGTTATCCCTTTTATTATTTGAATTTTCACAAGTAGCATCAAATTATTTGGGGATTGAAGCAGAGTATAATGGAAGAATGATTTAAAAAGCTCCGCTTAAAAAAAAAAAGAAGCAATTGCTGTTTTGGTATGGGCATAGTTCTCTATGGTAAATATTTCTCTAAAAAACCGGGAAGTCTACAATGCCAAAAGCATAAACTGGCAAAGAAACACGTAGGTGAGTTGGGTTCCATAAAAATGTAAAACTCTGGTGCTTCTAAGGCCACTTATCGAGAAAGTGAAAAGCTGCTTACAGAATGGGAAAAAATACCTGCAACTCGTATGTATGATAAGGGGACTTGTATCTGGAATATATGAGGGCCTCTTACAACTCAGTAATTAAAAGCTAAATAACCCCATTAAAAAAAGGGCAAAAGACTTGAGTAGACATTTCCCCAAAGAAGATGCACGCATGGCTCGTAAGAACATGAAAAGATGCTCAGGATCGTTAGTCATCAGGGGAATGCGAGCCAAAAGCACAGGGAGATAGCCCTTCCTACCCATGAGGATGGCTGTGATGGAAAAGACAGACATTCGAGACGCAGGGGAAGATGCGGAGAAACCCGGACCCGTTCCCACGGCGGCGCTGCTGGGAACGCAAGACGCGGCACCTGCTTTGCAAAACAGCCTGGCAGTCCCCCCAAAGCGGAACACAGAAGTACCATTTGGTCCAGCAGTTTTACTCGTAGGTCTATACCTAACAGGAAAAAAAAAACATACGTCTGCACAAAAATGTGTGCACGAATAGTCGTAACAACATTATTCCAAGTAGCCAAAGGGAGAACGGCCAGATGTCCACCAGAGAAGGAACGGGCGAACAGAGCACGGCCTGGCCATCCAAGGGACGTTTCCAGACGTGAAGAGGCAGGAAGTGCTGATCCCTGTCACAGGATGAGCCTTGAGGACATCAGGCTGCGTGAAAGAAGCCAGTGACAAAAAGCCATATATGTTATGGTTCCATTTATGTGAACTGTCCAGCAAGGGCACGTGTGGAAAGGCAGGACATGGATGAATGATGGCTTAGGGACAGAGGGGGCCGGGGGGATGGCATGTGGCAGCTCAGGGGTGAGGGGCTTTTCCAGGTGAAAGAATGTTCTTACATAGTCTGTGGAGGTGGTTGTGCAACTCTGTGGAGATAATAAAAACCATGGAGTTATGTACTTTAAATAGGTGCATTGTACACTGTGTGAAAAAGCTGTTAAAAAAAAAAAACCAAACCCTGCAAAGTCGCCTGCTGGGCCCACTCAGGGACTGAGTGTTCCCGGGAACCTGGGTCTGCGCGGCGGCACCGAGACGGGTTCCAACTGCAGCCCAGCTGCTTGCCGGCTCTGCACGCCCCCGGACACATCGCTTCATCTCCCTGACATGGGGACTGGGGTACGCGATGCACAGCGGGCTTGCGCTGGGCCTAAGGGTGCCAGCACCCAGAGGAATCAAAGCCACTGCTCCCCAGAGGCCTCCACAGCCCCCACCCTCCGAATGGGACAAAATTCCAAAATGAATGGGACTTGCAGATTTTCTTTATGGGAATGAACTCCTGTTGGCCTTGTTGATGTTCAAATAGTTAAATAATATAATTCTACAGGCCTACTGGTCTGAGAAACTCAAAGGAGGTGCTGGAAAGCAAGAGGGTAGCTGGGGCCACTCCTTCCATGTCTGTTTCCCAGGGAGCCTGGACCGGAGTGAGGCTGGGCCTTATGGTCTCTGGGATGGTCTGAGAGGTGGCTGTCTGCGCCTCAGAGGTCATTTACAACTGCTTGACCCCCAGCTGAAGGATCAATCCATTTTTAGTCAACACCCTGCACCCGCTTCTCCCAGCCCCTGTAAAAGCCACCCCCTTTTAAACGAGCCCCAGGGACAGCCCTGGGGCTGGAATTCTTAGTCAGAAGATCACAGAAAGATAGTGCCAGGCTCCCAGGTGCCCAAGACCAGGAGACAGAGGCACAGAGCCGGGCAGGTGGGGCCGCAGCCGCCTCTGCAGCCCAGTTCTCTGTCAGGCTCCGGGGCACTGGATGGCGGCTCCAGTGCTCGGCCCTCGGCTCGAGGTTCACCTGCGCCCCCTCGCTGATCCCCACACAGTGAGGCAGATGGGATTTCCCATTTTCACAGACGAGAACAGACTAGCCCCAGGTCACTCAGGGAGAAGCAGCAAGCTGGGGTTCAAGCCCAGCCTGTCCGATGCCACAGCCCACACGCTCTTTCTCCTGGAGGGTCCCCCAAGGGCTCCATCTCAGAGGTCAAGCCGGTCACAGAGGAGAGGGGCCCCCTCCACCCTCACTCCCCAGGAGGGACTCTGCTCCGGACTCTGGGTCTTCAGGACACTCTCGGGCCTCACCGGGCGGCTGCACTGCCTCCCTCCCGGTTTCCCGGCCCCACCCGCTTCTCCCTGAAATTCTGGGTTCTCCGCAGCCCAGCCTCCTCGGGTCTGACCCTCTCTAAACTTGAGCTTGGGAGCTTCCGTTTCAACTTCCCCGCGAGAAAGAGAGAACTACGGATGTCCCCCGTGCTAAGCCTTGAGTATCTCTCTCAGGACGTCTCTTGTTGCCAAGGAAAATGAAACAGATGTCTTGGCAACAGCTTCAAACATTTCCTGCCAAACCAGGGGAGAGCCTGTCTTCAGTTTAGATGCAGCCAAGAAAGACAAGTCCCAGCTCCGGTCGTTCCCAGGAAACAGGCTCACACACACCACACACACCGCCCGGCTCCTCCAACCTGGGCGGCCGGCCGCACTCCCAGAGGCCTCCCTCTCCAGGATCGCACGCAAGGTCCGCTGCAGAAGGAGGCCACCCCTCCCCCCTCCACCCAGCTCCCGCCTTCCACCCTCCAGGCCTCGGGTGGCTGCGGGTTACACGGAAGCAGTGAAAGTGGGCATTCGTCTTGTTCCTAAACTCGGGGCAAGCTTCAGCCCTTCACCAAGCACGCCCTTGACTCTGGCTGGCGCATCTCCCCTCTCTCTCCGGGGTGTCTGGCTGCCCGCCCTGGCTCACCCGGCTGCCCCACGGGAAGCCCCTCTCCAGCCTGCCACCTCCCGGTCCCCACCTCTGCCCTCGGAATCCCGGCTGAGCTCTCCGTCCTTGGCGGGGTTTTTGAGGCGCTTCTGCGGTCTCGGTCACGAGGTGCCCACTAGGCAGGCAGCGTCTCCTCTGCCCTCATCCTCTGTCCTGAGCGTAAAAGGGGAAGGGACAACCCTCGTCAATGCTGAGGTCTCGAGAAGCAACTGGTTTTCAGGAGCCCGAGAAGTCAGGCTGGCTGGGAAGAGCTAGGTCTGAGCCTGCCTGGCCACGAGGAAAACGATTCACCGGTCCTTGCTGGTGTGATTGGCAGGAGCCCAGAGAGGCCTGACGGCCGTCTAAGAGACACAGGTGTTCCCGGGCACCTGGCTCCCCGGCAGGTGGAGCCTCGGACACGGCATGGGAACCCCTATCGGTGGGCGGGAACTTCCGCCTCCTCCCCTCTTAGCCGGAGGGGAATCCTGTACGTGTCCACCTTGATGCCGGTGTCTCTGTGACGACAGTGACTTGAGCCACAGAAAAGTGGGCCTAGAGCATCAGTCCAGAGACAGGAGCCAGGTGAGTGCAGGACCTGGAGCTCCTTCTGCTGACGTGAGGTTGTATCCTCCTGGGAACCCTCCGCATCTCCCTGAGACCAGGCCAGAGACAGCCAGGGACCTGCGGCCAACACTGACACCCAGTAACTCCCAGGAGAACTGGATAAAGCTTCATGGCCACGGGATACCTGCGGTCTCCGCTCAGGAATGACAGGTCCAAGGAGCCCAGAACGAACGAGAACACAGAATTCTGAGAAACATAACAACTTAACGATGACATATGGTCTACAAACCATATATATTTAGAAATTATCAACTGGATATTGACAATCGCTGTAGAGAAACACGTTTAAATGACAGTAACTACCAGTCCTGCAGATTCCCATCCTCAGACCACGATGCCGTAAGACTGGAAAAAGAT